GAATATTTTTTCAAAAAGAGTGTAGAGATGAAAATGAACCCGAGAGGCTATAACAGCTTTGTTGTTCCACATAACAATCATAGATACCAAGTTGATATATTCTTTATTTCCAAAAAAAAATTAAAGGTAAAACAAAGATACAGAGCTGGATTAGTCTGTATTGATTGTTTGAGTAAGTATGCTGTCGTAGTCCCAGTAAGAAGGAAAGAGACAGGCAGTGTTATTCAAGGAACAAAGAAAGCGATAGAGAAGATGGGCAAGAAACCTGAAATCATATACGCCGACGATGAGAAAACTATAGCAAGTGGTGAATTCCAAGCATATGTAGAAAGCGAAGGCCGAATTGTATAGGACAAGAGGCCATCCTGCTTTAGCCGAGCGTTTTATAAAAACGTTTAAAGACAAATTATGCAAAAGAGTTGAGAACGATGAAAAGAATAAACAAACGAATATACAATGGATAGACTACATAGATGAAAATGTGTTAACTTACAATAATAAAGATGTGCATTCCGCTACAGGTCAAAAGCCAGAGATACAGACAATGAATTCAAATCAAGAATAAACATTGCAATGAAAGCAAAGAAACAGAGGCTCTATCCTGAACTATTTGTGGGAGACAAAGTAAAAATCAAAAGGAAGAAAGCAACAACGGAGAAAGAGAGAACCTCACACTTTTTGAAAGGTGAGTATACCGTAGAGTCCATTGATGAAAAATTGAATCAAACATATTATACATTAGAAGGATACAATAGACCACTATTGAGGCATGAACTGCTGAACATAGAAATTACCATTTATAGGAAATCTACTTAAAGGAATATTATATCTATATATCTATATCTATACATATATATATATTAGCGACATGTCATTCAGTGATACAAGTAGTGAACGTGAAATCAATCAAGAAGAATACATCAAACAAAAAATCTTAAGCTGTAAATGTAGTGAATATGCAACAATAAAATGAATTATCAAAAATAATTTTACCGATGGTATTGGTAATAAAATTTGTGAATATGTAGCCTGTAAAAATTGCTCAAATATAATGAGTCATTTTGATTCAATTGAAATTGATATTAACCCTTGTGACGATGATGATATTGATGAACAAATTCAAATATACGTTTATAATACTTTAGTGACTGAAATTCCAGATGATAAAATGAATTTAGTATTAAATGAAAAAGAAATAAGACATTATCAAGATTATGGACAAGGATTGAAAACTGTTGCAACAATTCATATTCTACGGTCGCATTCTGCATGTTAGAAATGAATATTAATGATGCTGATTGTATGGATGATAACTTTAATCATGAAACCTTTATAGATTGCTTAAGAAAAATATTGTTGCATATCAAAGACAATGAACAGTTTATTGGAAATACAATTATTGACGAGAATAAGTTTGGCAAAGTGTATGAAAGAATACAACAATGAATTTATATTTGAACCCCACAAATTTTCATATCAGATAATATGTTTTTTTTAATGGCATAAGGAAGTACACTTAAAATTGAAAGGATAATACCTTATAATAGTATGGAGAGTAGAAAGTGCACAAAAATGGTGACGAGTTCAATGGAATGAATAGAATGTGTATTGAATGCTTGGACAAACAAAAGGAGAGTAACAAAGTATATAATCAAAAGGAAGAATTTTGCGACATTTGCCAACGGAATGTGAAACAATGCAGGTTGTCCAAACATCTTAAAACCGACAGGCATTCCAGCAAGGAAAAACTCAAAAAGGAAGAAGAGAAAAAACAAAAATATATGGAGGAATACTTAAAAAATGATGAAACCAGAATTGCAAAATTGAAACAAATCTGGAAAACCATTACACCAAAAAACTTTAAAAGACTTTAACCCCATAATTTTTCATATCATAATATATGAAAATTTATGATTCGAACATAGGAATGTTAGACGTGGATGATTTAGATTTATGATATTATTTTATAATAATATATTATGATAAAATATTTAGATGAAACTTTATGATATGAATTTATGTGATGATGGATGATGATGAAATGATGTGGGATGATGATGTATGAAATTATGTGGTCTTACTTTGTGTTGATACTGTGATGAAATGATATGAACTGTAGTGAAAATGAACTGTGGTAAATGATGAAATGATGGAGGTTGATGATATGACCTTAGGTGTGTTTGTGTCTAGCTATCTATATATATATATATATATATAATTTCTTTAATAACATACATATATGAAAACATTGGAACTATAACCACATGTATCATTCCTTTCGCCATGATGATCCGCAGGGACCCACAGAGCGAACCCCTTTAACACAAATGATTAATGACTTCTTTCTCACAACCCTTTAACACAGATGTTTGCCTGTTTGCCTAAGATTCCATATATTCCCCAGTGCCTGGATGAATAAAGGAAGGAGCCCTAAATTAGCATAAGACCTCACTTGAGATACTCAGACCTAAGAAAAATTAGGTCTGGGTAATATTGCTTACACTCCAATGGCTCTCCAGCCACTCAGCCACTCAGTCACTCAGAGTGGCTGAGTGGCTGAGTGGCTGCGTCAGCCGCTCTGCCAGAATGGCTGAGTGGCTGAGTGGCTGCGGCAGAGTGGCTGGAGCAGCCACTCAGCCACTCAGCCACTCTGAATGACTGAGTGGCTGAGTGGCTGCTCCAGCCAATCTGCCACTCTGCCAGAGTGGCTAGACCAGCCACTCAGCCAGAGAGGCTGGACCAGCCACTCAGCCACTCAGCCACTCAGCCACTCAGTCACTCAGAGTGGCTGAGTGGGTGAGTGGCTGCGTCAGCCGCTCTGCCAGAGTGGCTGAGTGGCTGAGTGGCTGCTTCGATTTCGCGAGCCGTGTTGCACATCCACCCTGAAGTCTTGCCACTTGCTAAGATCTCCTTCATGATTTTCAGAACCAAACGGGTCAGGTTGCCTAATGACTGTTGAGGCTTCACTGAACCCCTTTCCACTCAAACCAGTTCCACGACTAGCCTGGGCCTCTCTCAAGACGCGCAGCATCAGTTGCTGCTTGTATCAACTGGGACATGTCCAACGCGCCACCATCAGCGGCCATGCTCCAAGCAAAACTAAGACAACGAAATCCCAAATGGCTCCACTTAACGGCAACGAAAGTTTCCTAGAGTCCAAGTTAGCTTCAGGTGCCCTCACCAGAATAAAGGATCTGGATCACAGGGCTCCGCTACCATGAGCATTTTCCTTGATGCAAAGACGCCTGAAGAATCCATCTGTTTCACAACGGCTTTAAACATGCTATGCAGCTGAAAGTAAAATGTCATCTGACATGAATCAACTGCAATGCAACTGTACGTGTAACTGAAACAGGCAGGTATGGGAACCATGTAATTCCCTTCAGTTTTAAAATTTATTTGCAGTATTTTTTTCTAGCACAGTGTTTGATATACTTTCTCGTCCGCCAGGGAAACACAGGTGAATTTTGATATGCGAGGGTGAAAACCATGCACATGTACAGGTACGGTCTCGCACATGCATTTGTTTGCAAAAACAGAATCAACGATACATCCCACGGCTCTTAATCCAAAACTATAAACAACACCACCTTCTTCACGTGTGCTTGCTTCAGCATGTTCCGCAATCAGTGTGAACATGAGATCAACACGGCATCTTGTGAAACTAAATGAATCTACCTCGATTCTTCGTTTTTAGTTTGCAGGCATTTGCAGGCCATGATGAAATCGGATAGATATGAAGCATGCTGACAATAAGACCAATGATTGCAAGTGGGGCTAACTGGAACATACCAGTGGTATGCCTATATTGCTGTCGGGCTGCATTGGGTGACCTATTAAAGCTCCCAGACGGGGATTGTAATTACCATACTTATCTGCCGACGTTTTCAGTGTATGTCATTTGTATTCATTTGTTATTTTCATTACAACCGTGATGGGTGCCCACTGGTTCCTCGCCAGAACCCTGGTTCCAATGGTTCCAGGAACCAAAGCCTAGTTACCTATGAGAGAGGTACCTAGGAGGGCCTGGGTTTGGTTTTAAAGACCCTTTTCCGGCGGCCATTCAACGTGCAATTGTGTCTTGGACCGGTGCAAGTCATCAAATGCCTATGAAATTTTGGTTGTCGGGTGTGAATATAAACAAATGCGGTATGAGGACCAATGCCACCGGCAAGAGCGAAACCAAAAAAAATAAAAAAATCAAGTGACGCAATCCCCAGAAACAAATGGCGACAATTAACATCAATTAACAATGTAATTTCAAGGATGCCAGCGAGAGCTCGGAGGCTGCATGAGGCTGCCTCCAGCATGGCGTGTGGCTTATAAATTTGATCAAATTTGGTGATATCAATGACATCACTGCGAAAACAGTTCTGCTATGTTCTGCTACTATGTTTGGTCATTAATTAATATTAATTTGTATACCTTTTCTTACTTCAAATGAGTTTGTGTTTCGGGTTTCCAATCGGTATTCGCCGGACAAAAGCTAGCTACCCCAACTTGTGACCCATATATAACCACTTTTAGAAGGCATTGGCCAGCAGAAATTGTCTGGACCAAGATTCCGAACGTCCACGTAGAACACATACACATACACGTATATATACACAATTTTTGTTGATCCACGTTTACAGTTTACAGTGTTTGGGGATACAAGTTGACGTGTTCTGTAAACAGGTTGCTTACATGCATTCTTTGCTTTGTTTATTGGCTTTTAAGGTGCGGGCGATGTGTCTCAACAATTTTCTACAATTTTTTTGCGCCGCCCGTTGGTTCAAGACGTTATTTACTTGGATTCCCACAATCGAAACCAGAACCAGCAGTTTGTGAGACCTTTCTTCGATGACATGGTTGATGATCAACAAATAGGACACACACAAATTTTCACATGACGTGATTAAGAAAACGGATGGAAACGGCCAGCAGCAGCCTTTGAGAAAACAAACCAGACACACCTCCCTACTATTCAAAAATATTTTTGTGCAGACGGGGCTTCCTTTGGACAGACGGGTTCCCTGCGCCGACAGCCGGTACCAACCATGGTTGGGGGCCCAGTTGATCACCGGTGTTGAAACCCAATGATGAAGGTCCAAAACAACTTGACAGATGGAATCAGACTGCCCACTTATATTTTTTTGTGCATGTTGACGTATAATTACCAAAATTAGTTGAAGTGACAATGTACAAGAAACATTTGCAATGCACCTATATTTGACAGTAAAGTATGGTAAGAAACCCATAGGTTCCTGGATTGTTGAACCAACCCGTGGAATGCAAATTCCAGGCTGACCAATCGAAAATGTACCGCTGGGATGGTTCCTTCGACTTCAAGCGGAGGGAAGATTGGGATTACAAGTCCGAAACTCATGGGCTGCTGGTAGGGTCGGCAAGTTGGAGAAATGCCTGATGTTTTGACATGGCCAATATTGGGAACGTTGGGATCGCCCATTTCTAGAGCAGCTATGTTTCGCTAGGCCAGAGTTGCATTCGGTTGCATACCATGGCGTTTTTGTTGTTTGTGTTGGTCCATGTTGGTCCATCCATGTCCATCCGTCACCGGAGGCTGAGCCATGCTGAGGCATTCCTTCAATTTCATGGCGGGATGGCTTGGACAAGACGAAACCAAAGAAGCGCAGAGACGGAAAAAAAAGTCCAGGCCTTGGAGAAATGAAAATGCTGGGCCCCAGATAAACCCATAGGGAGAGCCATCAAAAAAAATACTGGGAAACTAGATATTTCCGGGATCGTTTTTCTTAATTTCGATTTGTGGTATTTATTAATTTGATTTTAATTTGATGCTATTTGGAGGTTGCTGTAATGTGAGATAGTATGAGTTGATTTGAGTGATCTGAGCTGCAGACGTCTTTTGAAAACTAAGCACGGGTTGGTTTCCTCCCTGGTTTCGACGCAATCACAATAAGTTCTGCTGTCAGCGCGGATGTGAATTCCACGTTCATTTCTTGTTGCAGTGGTCAGCCGCGGTGACGCACACATTGACTCGCAGTCTTCTTCGTCTCACTTGACTTTCGATATGGATTATGCATATTTAATATAATATATTATAATTATTTGTAATGAATTGTTTTTCTGAACAACAGTGAGACATTGTGTTCAAATGCAGATGTCAATTGCAAGTCAGAAACCATATCAGGGCAAATGTCGCCAGTCAATATGTCAGAATTGTGTCAGTGCACATGTCAGTCAGTGTGTCAGAATACGCTTCAGTATCTGTGCCAGTCAATATATCGGACCGTTAGTCAATACATTTACCAGTCAATATGCCTCGGCAAAGATCAGTTTGCATGTCAGCACATTTGCCAAAGTTTTTATGCGGCGGGACCCTCTTGAACGGGTGATTTTTTTTCTTGTGTGGTTTCTTTTTTTTTTGTGAGAATTCAGGAACAACAGCCAGATTTCAAGAAGAAGGAAGGGCAGGGGAAGAAGAGGTAGAGAGCGGAGGGAAGAAAGGAAAAAAAACGAAAAGACACGAGGATCATGAAAGAAAGAGGGAATTGCTGCGACACTGCTGCAGCCTCCGTCAACAGCAACAAGTGTTTTTCCCCTGGGCTGCCGCTGCCATCACTTCAACAGTTGTGCCCAGACAACAGCTACCACCACCACCACCACAACTACAAGACCAGGACTTAGCAAAAACAGAAGGAACAAAAAGCGGCACTTATGAATCACACAAAAACAACCCCTAGACCGGAAACTTCGACAAACGCAAAAACAAATCGTTTGAAACAGATATGTTTGATAGGAAGGCATGGGCAGAGATGGCTGGTTTGTATACATGATGCAACAGAATTTAGGATTTTCATTGCCACGTTCAATTGCTGGGGGGTATTCACAGTTTCAACATGCCTTTTTTAATTCCGTGATTGGTGAATATGGGCCGGGTGCCATTCTAGTTTTTTCCCCTTTTTGTCGACCGCTAGAAATGCATCACTTGGCTGCCTTTTTCAATGATAATCCCCATGGGTAGTGCAACTACAACTATAATTTGGATACTTTGTGGAGGCATCCTGCTTGTCCTGCCCAAAAATAAAGCGTCATTTTGGGCAAGCTGTGTTGCGCAGCAAGAGCCCCATTGCCGGGATCTAAAATGGGGCACCATTGCCCTTGGCAATGAAACTATGTGCCTTTGGAAAAAGGTGACCTGACAAAGAACTTGTTTACAAAGCAGAGTTGGCTAACAAGGTAGGATCCCAGAAGAATCAGCTAGCTTGGCAACCCATGTCTTTTCCCTCCTAACTCAGAGATGCCGAGGGATTTGTAAGAGAGATCAAGAGAGGGCCAGGGCCCCTTAGTGAACCATGAGTCAATTGCTCCTGTCAAACCAGCGGCTTTTTTTCATTCTGAGGATGGGAACGGTTGATGAACAAGCGCCTCCGCTTCCAAAGGCGCATGTGTTTTTTTTTTGTGAGCCATGGGTTGGGATGGTTGGGTATCAGTGGTAGAAATCCCAGAATTCTGATATTGGGTAGATGTGGGTAGTATTGTGGTTAAGCAAGACGGTGCCAATTCAACCGGTCACTCAACGCTTCTTGAAGGACGACAGCTTGGTCGAAACGATCGAAAAGACGGCGAAACATGTGCACAAGTCCATGCCTCAGAATCAGGGCATCCCAAGGTAAAAACTTCCCTGTGTTCATTTGAAGTGATGTGTTGCGGACCATGGAGAAGAATGGAGAAGATACAGACGGTAAGTATGGTGCCTCATGCAACTACAACTGTCCTGCCACTGCTAGATGAAGTTGTGTTTGTCATAATTATTTGACGCGTCAGAATGACATTGCCAGGCGGTTGCTATCACTGCATTTGGGTTTGACACTCTTGTTGGTGACACTCTATTAGAACATAGGTTGACTGCTAGCGATTAACCAGGTGGCAATCCCATGTTCTGCACACACACGTGCCGCCATGTAAACGATCTGAATTCAGGATAGATTGTGATCTTCCCATGCTGCCTATGACACGACCAGGTCGAACGATCCAACGGTTTTCGAGCACTTGGTGCAGGCAACCAGCAACAAACGGCAGATCCTGCATCCCTAGAGGGTAAATTGAGCCATCATGATCCATCAGAAATATAACTGGTTTATTGGGGACTGGGGATTATTGATTATCGGCAATTTACTATTATTATACTAGAATGGGATGGGATACGGGTATCTGTCAATATTCACCCCGCTTCGCGTGGGGTGGCCGCCCACACCGCAGGTTTATTTCGGTCCGTGAGAGGGGCTAAGGGTGGTTTTCCCCCGTGGGGGCTCTTCAAGCTAAGAAGTTTCAATAAGAAATCCTTCCAAAACATTGTTTTTGACAGTGTTTTTCCAATGTTTCCAGTCAAACAGACGGTAATTTACACGTTTTTTGCCATAAAGGCAGTAAATCCTTCCAAAACAGTGCTTTTGACAGTGTTTTTGTAATGTTTCCAGTCAAGCATACGGTAATTTACACGTTTTTTGCTATAACGTCAGTCCAAAACACTTGTTTTTGCAGTGTTTTCAATGCTCTGGCATCCAAAAACCCTGCAAAATCTTGCTATGTACAATGTTTTTTTCATTTTTGGCCGTTTTTCCATTGCCGGAAGGCTACCAAAATGACCCAAAATTCCATTTCAATACCCTCTTGCGCTCAGACACCCAAAAATCCTCGAAAAATGTCGAAAACACCACCGTATTCTGGTCTCGGTGCGAAACCTTTTTTGGCCCCCCCCAGCTAAAGCTGATATAGCGACTGCTATATTAACAAATGTCATTGAGCATTTAGTGTTGCTGTTGCCCCCCAATAAGCACGCCTTCACCGCCAAAGCGGTGTGGGCGGATTTTGTTTTATGGTTCAGTTGGTGACCAGCCAGTTTGCGTGGCACCATCAGGAGAAGAACAAGGGCAGATCCGGATGGGACTTCCTTCGAGAAGGTGGTGAAGGCATGATCTAATCTGGCCGCGACTGGATTAGTTTGGAGCCAGTTGGACTTATCACATTGTCTTACAGTCACTTGGATCGTCAAGGTCAGTTACTTGGAAGATACTATAGGATCGTCAAGGTCAGCTATATAATATATACATCAAGGATCGTCAAGGTCAGCTATATAATATATACATCAAGGATCGTCAAGGTCAGTTACTTGGAATGGCATATAGCCGGATCATTACGGGAACTATACAGACCACCTGAAATCAGCAGGCCATTCAAATTGGAAGGGTTGCTGCTTTGGAGGTCGTGACTACTACCTTTTCTGCCTGCACTGTTGTGAACGCGAGGCTGGCACTGGTCAGATTGTGCACATGTCATCATGTCGTTCTTGTTGACCGGCTCTCTTTGTGGGAGGTTGATCCCAGACCGATGGCATTACATGCCCGAAAAGTGAAAGAAGACCGGGAATTGAAGCAGGCCAGAGTTTTGCCACAAGTCATATCGTTTTTGGATCTTTTTTGGGAATGTATATTGTATATGTAAATAGAAGTTTGGTGGCAAGAAGGATACGATCAAAAACTATGCAACGCGACAAACGTGAGTAGAATCAAACGGGTTTACTGCAAACCCGCTGAGATGATCTGAGGGTTTGGGATAGGGATGCTGACCTCTGCAAGGCAAATGCGAAAGCCAACGTTTTCACTGGGTATCAAGGCGGATCGTTTGGTTTTGGCCCTGTTTGGCCAACGAAATCCTGCGATAGAGATGTGTTTGCACATGTTTGCATTAATGGCACAAACAGATCAGAAATGAAAGTGACCCTCGCAGGATAGGAAGACTCACCTTGTTTCTAGCTTTCACCTGCCTGGGACAGTTACACGATTACACTTTCGTACTTGCAGCATCTTGCAGCCATTGCTTTGCGCTAAAATCAAGATACCCCAGGACCCTAGAGACATTTCAAGCTCGTGACAGCAGCGGAGCACGGGAGGGATGATGTGCAACGATACGCACCAACTGCCTTTGTTCTGTTTCAACCAAATGACCAGATACTCAGACAACTCAGATCCCCTGAGCAGTCTTAAAAACCGCAAGGTTTACAGTACCATCTCCGACCATATCCAGAGGTTCACAGATGTTCACAGCACTTTCCAGTCATCTTAATCATCTTCACTTTGAATTTCTTCATCATCCCATGGTCATTTCATCCCATTTTTCCCATGGTGGAGCCCCCATCCCCCGGTGGTGCCACCGGTGCCGGTCACCGCGGCGCCTACTTCGCCGCGCTGCTGGCGTCGAGCGACGCCCTGCGGCTGACCTCGGGCACCGAGGGCCTGGGCCTGGCGCTGCGCCGCGCCGCGTCGACGGCGGAGGAGATCTACCGGGGCCGGGCGCTGGCGGTGCATCGCCATGACGCCAGGTGTGAGGAGGTGGAGGCCATCTGCAAGGCACTGAAGTAAACAACCAGGGCTTGATTACTGCTTGATATAGATCTGGATGGTTCATTCATGGTTCATTCTAATGTCAATTAATGTCATTTTAATTTAATAGTTCACTTTTTTTTGAAGCTGAAAGTGAATGAACGTGTTCTTTCGGAGATGTATTGGATGAAATTTCATGTTTGTTCGGGGATGGGGGTGTGATTGAATGGGATGCAGGTTGGATTTGTAAGATGTGAAGCAGATGCAATCCTTACAATGTCAAAGAATGTCAAAGAATCAGTGTGAAACAGAAGGGAGGAGACCTCATGGGTACACCCTGATGCGAGGCACGTCCATGTTTTCTTCCACCCTCTTGCTACTGCGCTGCTCTGAGCTCGTTGCTGCAAAGCACGGCCGAAAGTGACCTCCTGCACAGCCTGCTGTCGCTGTCCAAACCTGATCGCATTGCCCGGCGGGCGCCGGGAATCAGCAGTGGCGACACTGGTCCATGTGACATCACTGCGCGAGAGATACTGCGACAGTCGCTGGTTGGTGGTAGTGTCATTTTTTCTAAACTTCCATCCCTAGTTATTACAGGGAAACATGGAGCAAAATGGTGCCAGTTGATCATTTTTCTGGGAGATGGGTTGAAACGTGTGAAAACCAGCACCCAGGTCAGATCTGGCAGAAGACCTACTTCCACTCTACAGCGACCTGGCGCGAATCTGGAAATACAACGCCTTTGATACTGGAGATGGACGAATGGCCATCTTTCTTCTGCCCTCCTTGTGCAATCATAGCTGTTTGCCCGCTGCGGAGTACACCTTGTGTGACTTCCTTCGCAGTTTCCAACGCATCTTTTGACCTATCCATGTTTTTGAACGTTCAGTCACCCCGTGGGATCACTTCAAGATTTCGATGGAAAATTGCCCTCGCATGAACAATCATTATATTTAAGGGCTGCCGCCCCTGCCGCCGACCCCGGAAGTAACTCGTGGTGCCAGCTAGCAAGAGAAAAAGTGAGAAATATGTAAGGCAAGGAAGCTACGGCATTGCACACGTCCTCCTAAAAGATGCAATACCATTGAGTAGAACTCTCCACACTTCCTCTTTCAAGTGCCCCAACAACAGAAAGTGTTGTGTCCTTGTAGGCAGCGAGGCATGTTTAAGACTCTCTAAGTGTCATTCTGGTCTGATTTGGACGTGTTGCGAGTGTCATCCAATGGCAATGATAAGAATCTCACCTTGCTCATTTGGTCCAGTGTACATCGATCGATTGGAACAAAATACAGCAAATCTCCGGAGAGGAATTTAGCGGCTGTTTCGGCCGTGCTTGCTGTGCAATTTCTGGTCCGAAAGTGTTTTTATTGACGCTGGCAGTGGGTCCCCCGCGCGGAAGCTCAGACTAGAAAAGTTGGTGACCGGGTAATCAAAAGATGGTAAAGTGGTAGCTTCAGTGGTAACCTTGGTAACCTCGATAAGAAGTATAAGTATGTGTACTGTATAGTGTAACATCAGATGCATCAAGACCTTTGTGCTTGCAGTGCTCGATCATAGAAATTGTCTGTTTGCCTCAAAGTGGGTCTCGTTTGGCAATGATGTTGAGACAGGTTGAGAAATGTTGAGACGATGGTTTGTGGTAAGACTTGTCTTTCAAATTGCTCGTTGGCTGCGCCTCTGTGTCTTGTTGGTTCGCGGATCTCGCATGTGACAGATTGCCATTGCTTACACTTATGTGGTCACATCGTGTGCAAACTCGTTTTGAGGTGCAGCGCAGAATGGCATGACCAACACAGATCGAACGGGCGGGTCAGACGAGGACAGCCGGAGGTATTGATTTGACAAACTTGTTGCAGAGTCAAGTTGCAACAGCCAGAGGTTCAGAGGACCTCCCTTGGAACATACATAGATAGATAGATAGAGAGATAGAGAGATAGAGAGATAGATAGAGAGATAGAGAGATAGAGAGATAGATAGATAGATAGATAGATAGATAGAGAGATAGAGAGAGAGATAGAGAGATAGAGAGATAGATAGATAGATAGATAGATAGGTAGGTAGATGAAAATCCCCCATTTCTCCATGATCCGACTAGAAGTCTCCATTTTGATTGGGGATTAGCCAGCCATCTGTGATTTCGTGATGCCCACTAAAAATCACTGGTATGGCTGGGAGAAGGTATCCCTGACAGTTTTTATTGTGTAATTCCGAAGGTCTTGCAGGTTAGTTCAACTCTGCCCCCTGTCGACTGTAAACCTAATCTTCCCAAAGCAGCTGTCGCCCACGTTTTTTCGCTGGGTGCAGGTATGAAGTGTAGATATTGGCCAGCTCTTGTACGAGTTGAAACCTCAGCAGTGACTAGTTGACTCTGAGTTGCTTCATGATATAATTCTTGGAAGAAGAGAGAATTAAAAGACACATCCGAGTAAAATAGTGATAAGTTCCGTTTCCATCTTTTTTGCAATTTGTGTTGGCAAGTATCATAATCCAACTGCAGAGAGTGGTGAAAGTCTTGTCTTGAAGCACGATCCATGGCTGTTTAGAAAGTATAGAATTGAGAGCATCAAATGCAGATCTCATGTATAAATGTCAGCTTGTGATATCCAGCTTGAGTACAGATAGATAGATAGATAGATAGATACATAGACGTGTCTAGTGCAAGTGCATTTGGCTCTAGTGTTGTTTTCAGAGTGGCGTGGATTGTATGGCGTCCGTCGGGTATACTGTGCATTTAACGGCACCACGATGCTTGGAAAGTGGTGCAGCGCATCGTGAAGCTGCTGAGATGGTACGAGAGGTACTCAGCGCAGGGACGGACGTTGCTTGGTGGGAATAGAAGTTTAATGAAGTTTATGATGTTTGATGTTAAGGGTTAACAGTTAATGCTGGTGACAGTCCGGCTGTAAAAGAGACGTCTGTGAACGGTTTTTGTGGTGCTGAGAATCAACAGGGGGCAGGAAATTGGATCTGCTTGTAAGGAGTGCATCATCAAGATCCGTGCTCGCTCCCGGCGATTAGTCTATGTGGTTTCAGTGCAGGCGAGCACGGTCCTAGAAGAGGAATTGGGTCGCTTGGGCGAAGTCAAGAAGCTCGACAGTGAAGATCAGAAGGAACAGGTTGCTTGACAGACAGTAGCAAGGGGTAGAACAATTTTGTGAGGTGGTTTCCAGTAGTTTTCAGTGTGTTTGGATTTTGACAGGTTAGAACAATTACTTTGTGCTAGGTGGCTCACGACGCAGAGTTCAAGAAGGCAAAGGAAGGACAGATGTCGAAGGCTGCGAAGATGACAGAAGCACATGGCCAGATGCTGAATACGCTATTGCAGATGCGGGGCAGTGGTGTCTTGTTTGCATCAAGAAAGGTTTTTGAGAGTGAGTTTTGCCTTGGCGATTACAGTTTGCATTTCTAGTGATGTGCTTTTGTCGGGAAAGTAGACACCAGATTCGATTGCAGGGCAAACCTTGGAAGGGGCTGCTGCCTCAGCTGCCACGAGCCGCGACCGCACCGAACTACCTCCAACTGTGCCCGACCAACGAGAAGGTGCAGCCAATGATAATGATAAGAAATTGCTAGGAAAGCCGATTGATGAAGCAGGTGCGGCCAAGTCAACAAAGACTCATGCAGAGCGAAAGCACTGCGACCCAAAAAAAGTAGGCGTGGCTGCAGCGAAAAAAACTGCACCGAAGGTCGCAAAGAAACCAAAGCAAGTAAGCACACAGCGGGGAAAGCACCAGCTCCATTCCAGTGCGGCCAGGAAGGTAGACGTGGCAGTGCCTTTGCGCCGGGTGCGCCGAAAAACATCACCAGGCTCCTTGAAGGAAGGCGCAATGTCAGGGGGCATGGCAGCAGAAGACATGGGAACGAAACCAACCGAGGACGATGATGGCGATATCTATCTTTTGCGGCTGTGGAAGCCTTCTCAGGGGAATCAAGATCCACGTGCAGTTTATGATGCAGTAAGACAGGAGGTAGCTACGCTGCTATCCGACAAGCCCACCTTGCCGGAACACTGTTGGAGAGCAGTCAATCCGCTGAAAGCATATGACTTACCTGATTTTCATTGTGCTTTTCGTACCTGCAGGTACGAGTGTCTAACGCAAAAGGAGCTGGCAGAACACATCACCAACCAGCACGCAGACGCCTTACAGAGTTTATCGACGCATTGGCGACCGCAAGTCTCTGAACCGAAAGCAACCCTGCAAGCGTATCACGAGATCTTAACCTGGCGCTGTCAACAACTGGCACCCATTGCCAATTGCTCTATTGACCGGCGATGCTTACGCAGACTGCGGCTGAACTTGCGCGGCAAACAAGTCGGTGCCGCAATTTGTTTTATTTGTGCCCGTAGGTACCCTTTCGTGCAAGATTTCCCAAATCAAGAAATTAGGTGGCAGCGCGCTTTTGACCAAGAC